TGGGTGGATGGAGGGGATTTAGTATTCATAGTGAGTGGGATGGGTGGATGGAGGGGATTTAGTATTCATTACTGAAATACCACGTGTCGACATACAGTATATATACGTGGACGCGTGCTCAATTGTTGTTGCCAAACTTGGATTTCTGGTGTGTTTTTGCTAAGATACTGTAAAACCATTTATTTTCACTGGCACTTAATTTCACAGCTTTGATGTTTGGGCCTTTTCACTGGGTATTAAGTTCATGAATTTGGAAGAAATACAATTAGTTCTATTGTTATTAACCATGCTCTTCTGAATTTATTTTAGCGTAATTAAAATCCTTTGAATAATTTATGCCTTCACAGTAAAGTTCTGTTGTCTGTGGTTAATTAGTCAGCTATTGTATGCTCTTTTCAACACTGTGAAACCTTCCTGATTGTTTTATGCAAATAAGTTGTAACACACATCCATGCACCGTACTTAAAATGACTGTGACACGATTATTCCGTCGATGTAAACTCCAGACTATTGAAAATACTTAAAATGTTCACTATTTTGTGAGACACCAAACTGCATGGATTGTGTTTCTGAACATGTTGATCCCGTGTTTATTCCCTTTGTCAAAACAAAACAGATACACTACTGCTGCATACGTCTGGGTTTCTGTCTCACGCATTTCGCTGATTGCTAGAATTAAAATAAAGAATTTACACCGGGTTTTATAAACGTGAACATATGTTTTATGGACATTTATAAATATTTATCCCGAAAGATTCTCGTATTTCATTCAAATCCAAAGAATATGCTTTTATTGGCTGTATCAAGGTTACTAGAACCGTGGCTTCAATCATTGGCCGATTTACTGCCAAAAAATAGATCCCATCACATTTGTTCAAAACGCTTAAAATTACAGTGATAATTACAATCAAAGGAAATATTAAAGTGCTATATTCATCTGCTAAGGCTTGTGATTGGTCGAGTTGTTTTCAATCGCCATTTGAAATTTATAAACAAATTCACGCCTTCATGAAACCCGATGTAATTGTTTCATTCACATGACTATCCCTGCAACATCAAAATCGCTAAAATTAAATCTAGTGACTATTTCCTCTCTACAGTAATTTATATTCGTGAACATATCTAAAGCTAATCTAAAACAAGATAAAGGATCAGTTTGAACTCTAAAGCAAAACGTTGTATTTCCTTCAGTCCTTCAGCTCCTGGGTTTTGGCTTGATTCCTCACACTTCTGCTCAAAAATATTACGCTTGTAAATTCGTGAACCAAAAAAATGAGTAATCCACTTCTAGCCAGCAGAACTAATAAAACGCACACCGACTTCCAGGCAAATTCCATATATCAAATGAAAGAGGACACCCAGTTGGGCGGCACATACTACAGTCTGACATAATGGGGTAAATTTCCATGATCTACCAATCAAAGATGCACGGGCCTTGTTCAGCGCATTTCCCGACACCTCTAATATTAAAAATCAAGGTTGGTAAATACAACAATCTATGTTGTTTGTTCTTGTTTTATGAAATTCAACCCGATTTAATACTGTTGGCGTTTTTTTATATGTGCGCACATCTCAGCGCATATTACCTCTTCTGCTGCATACTACTCCATGTTCTCAACAACAAGCTCACCATAATGCTGTATGTAATATAAACACTGTGAAGACACTTTGTTATCAATGGCACCAATAATGTCAACATGGCGGAGAACACTTTCGAGGTGCATTTCCTCGCCATGATGGGAAACAATGGTAATGTGGCCTGTACCCCTCCTATATATTAATGAAATCCACAAACGTACTAACAGCCAGTAACGCTCACAACATATAATGGACTTAATAAATTGATTTAAAACATGCGTATTATTATTCAAAGTAACCTACAATTTAACATGCTGAATAATAGAACATTATAATGAAGTAGAGGCGTGGAGTCCACAACCAGTCTGAGCATGGAACTAGTTCCATGGTCTGAGACAGTCGCACCGACCATTTAGACGGAGTCAACGATGTTAGGCACCTACAAGCAAACATTTTGTACAAAACATGATTCAAACTTGTGCATATTTTATGTACTTATTGTGCTTTCAGAAACTCCGGAAACTTTTAGGTGACAATAATATTACCTTTCAGTCTGAAGGTGCTGGATGCCGTGACCATGATAGTGAAATGCGAAGTGACATTTCATTTTAAACTCGCGGTTCGTAGGGTGATCAACACACACTGTATTTTTACACCTCAGTAAAACTTAAATAATATAACATAGCGCTCACACATCTTTAATACGTGTATTTTGTAGAAGACTAACAACCAAACTGCCTCGTTATTACATTTTGCACGGAATTCCAATGGTACATTCAGAAAAGATTGAAATGGGAAGTTTCCATTGCACGTTGACCCGGCGAACCACATTGGGTTCAATCTCATAAATATTAATTACACAACCCAATTTATTCGGCAACGCCTCCTAATTTGCATACAACGTTATACAATGGTGCGGTCCCGTACATTCACGTGAACAATCATTTCTCATTGGTTCCCCTGGATTTTCCGTTCTAATTCAGTAGAATTCCACAGCGCAACGCCCGTGCGTGTATGCTTCGTTCATTTCATCGCCGGCGTCTGTGCCTGTTAGTCTACATCGGAGAGATCTCAAACCAAGAACGCAGATTCCAGTGGACGGATCGAACAGACCTGTCCAGATAGACTGTTACTTGGATCTTCTTCTTTGAGGTGTTTATTTATCTATTTTTCTTTCTCTTACGTTTCTTTTTTCGAGCGAATTGCACACATTTTAAAGCTAGTCTGCAACCGTGCATGTAGACAATGCATTCAACTTAACCAGCTGAGACATCGTGTTGGAAATTTCCACCGATCATTTGTGTGTAACACGAGTGTATGCCGCTGAGGTAGACTTGAAAAATCGATACAGAACTTAAACCACGAAAATTTGAACTCTGCATTCTGCAGCAAATATTAATTTTTGGCACCAGTAAATTTTGAGTGATACATTGTTTCAAATAATCGACAATTATGGTGCTTTCTGGCTTTTTTTTGCGGGGTGGGGGCATTTTACATCTTGTTCTGTGCAATATTCGGTTATTTTCCTGCACGATGTTTTTACAAAAAAACGTGCCATAGAACGATATTAAATGACATAAAACACGGCGAACAATCAGTAGTTGTAATTAGTTCGTATAACGTTTTCAAACGCGGCTCATGATATGGCTTCTCGTGGCCCGCCGCGTTGCCGACTGACGACTGTAACTGAATTAAGAGTTTTCTGGGGTTTCATTTCTGATCATGTCCGTACATGAAAAAAGGGTTTTCTACTTCGAAAAAAATATTATAATGGAATAATGGTTTGACCAAATTATTTTTCCACGACCAAGTTTATCAGTCGACTTGAAATAAATTATACCGGGTCCTGGAGTTTGTTCATGTCTCAAAGTATCTCGACGACGCAAAAATTAGTTGAGTCGATAAAATGTGCTGATGGTCTATATAGGTAATCGCGCCATTCTGGATGTGCATGTGATCAGCACGAGTCTGCGAGCCATATTTGGGAAAGTCATTAATATCCAGGCTTGCTATGATCGTCGGGTGCTCAGTAAATGTATTCATGGTATACTGACGTCATAGCGGTCTGAAAGAATATGTCGTCCCGTATAAACAATGGTTTCGTTGTGTGGCAACTACAAGGATTTGACAACAAAATATATACGCTTATGGCACATAATGGATATATTTATTTAGTTTGTTGTCAAAACTTGTTTATATTCTGTTCAAAAAAAAATGTGCTAGAACAGAAATTAATTTTCATGCTGTTCACCATTTTGAGAAGGCTACAAACTTTCCTTAATGTATACAAAGTATGGACTTGACAAGTGTATTGTAAATTCGCTATGGAAACTTTTTATGACTTTTTCATTCTATTATTTATAATCCGGACTTTGAATTGTCTAATAATCTCAATTGGTTGTTTTACATGGTGGGTCAACTGATAATCCTTAATAACTTCATCTGAGATCACAAAAGTTGCGATAAAGAACAATCAACTCCAGATTAAAACAAATCTCACTTAGGTGAACAGATATTGATATTTTGATGAAATTATGAAAGGGAAAAATTCATGCTCCAGTACGTCAATCATTATTACTGAAAACTGAATATAAAGTTGCCTTTTTTTCTTGTTCTTGTGGTAAATATAACGACAGTGTTGACTTTCAAACTTCTTGGTTTTACAGACTACAAAACAAAAAACTGAAATACCACACAATATAGCGAAAGAAACAGTAACCAGAAGCCGGACATGCCGAATACTGTAAGTAGTTTGGTTTGTCTTCATGATATATTAACATCCCATGCTTTTTTAAAATTCTTCATGATATATTAACATCCCATGCTTTTTTAAAATTCTTCACGATATATTAACATCCCATGCTTTTTTAAAATTCTTCATGATATATTAACATCCCATGCTTTTTAGTCCCCGTTCGGACGCAGTCCGAAAACGAGGACTTATGTTTTGCCCTGTGTGCGTCCATCCGTGCGTCCGTGATCACCTGTATCTCGAACATGCATGGACCGATTAAGTTCAAACTTCACTCATACATCACACATTATATGGGACATATGCACATGCATTTTTTTCATGATCCGACTAACGATAGCCGAATAGCGGCCATTTTAAGGCCGAAAATGCATTGAAATCGCACATTTTCACCATTCCGGACCCGTATCTCAGTTATGCATGGATGGATTTTGTTCAAATTTGGTACATACATTAAACATAATAGGACCTTGATGCACGTCATTTTTTTTTTCCGGATCAAGTTCGAAATGGCCGACTGGCGGCCATTTTGTTAAAGAATTCGGTTCTGGATCCGTATCCAAGACATGTCTGGATTGATCAAGTTCAAACTTCACACACACATGGTACATCATGTCACAAATAGATATGTGCATTTGTTTCATGATCTGCTTAACAATAGCGGAATGATGGCCATTTTAAGGCCGAAAATGCATCAAAATCAC